TTCAATTTCATATGGTATTTCTTATGTTCGTGGTAGAGAAGACCCACCTTATCTATAAGACATTCCATGAATAATACTGAACTCCATTATATGTTTACTATATTTTTCTATACATCCATACCTATGATAAATCTTAATTTATCAATTAGGTATAATAAGATATTTTTAAATAATAATAAAATAGAGCAATTATAACAACAATATGTTTTTTAAAGTTTGAATTGTTTATTGCTGGAATTTTCCATTTAATATTTTCAGACTAGAGTCATCTATGGTAACAGAATCCATAGGAAGTGTAGCTGTGGATGGGGATTTTTGGGGGGGGTCTTTTATGCAGAGCATTACACACTGGTAGGTAGACATAGCTCAGACTTGCTAATCTCTTTTATCAAATAGAGAAAGGCATAGGATGAGAGACCAAATGTTTCTAACTGGCAGTTAATATCAGTATTTTACCTAATTTATATGATTATTTTAGGCAATTTAAGTAACTAATGATATAAATGTTTCTTTCAAAAATTTTTCTTAAATACAACACCAATTTAAAGAAAAAAGTATTGAGTAAATTGAGCAACTCAAGTACATATTAAATGATAGATGGCTACAACAAAAACCGTAAAAGTGAGATTTTGATACTCAAGTTAATGAAATACTTGGAAATATTTGATACCCTTCCAAACTTTTGTTCCCATTTATAAAAATGTACTTATATGCTTTAATACCACAAAGAAGAAGTGGCTGTCAATATGAGCCTGGGTTGGAAATGTGGAAACGCATTATCCAAATTAGGAAATAAAATTTTGACCATAGTGTGAGCCGGATATTGCCTTAGAAACAATAACGGGTAGTCAGAATGGGCAGGTGATGGCGTGGTAACAGCCAGTGTCTCATAGCAACACAAACAGAAATCCATTTCTGTTGTACCCCACAGGCTTCAGTCAGATCCCTGCCCATCACAAGCACTAGAAATGTAGTCAGGCAGAACCTTCATGACCACCAAGGCAGGAAAGAGGTGATGCCACACACTCTTGTTCTTAAGCCTTTCATTATTCAAAGCAAACTACGCAGTTACTGACTTTCCAACGGCAGGAGAATTCAGTGTTGCCCTGCGGTCAAAAGGCTAGTAGTCAGAGACAGCTGGTAATGTTAAAGCATCCAGCAAAGAAACCACAGACATCCTCTAGATGGAGACGTGTAGCCGGTGCGGCCACTTCTCTGTCACCATGCAGCCGTTCATCCCACTTCTCTGCCAACTACTGTTTGTTCTGGCCACTTAGTTTCTACAGATATTTTTGACCCTAAAACCATGCTTGGGTCTTTCAGACTTGTTTCTAGGCTAATGTGGTTCATATTTCTCTAGTAGTCTCCAAACAACTACAGGCTTATCAAAGTCCATCCATCCACTCAACTCCAGACACAGCCTTCAGCTTTTTCCTTCCTTGATGCCTGCCTCCACTGGCTTCCAGTACCTTCTTCGCAGTAGCTCTGCTTTGTACTAAGGAATGGCATTGTGGGATACAGGCTCTGTACCAGTGAGTTGGGAGGCATTATTAGGGTCTGTACAGATTTGTGCAGTTGTGAAATTATTCCTTACCTGAGGTAATACACAAATCATGGGAACCTTCATTAGGATTTGTTCAACCACACTTTATACTTCAGTTAAATGCTGCATCTGGGTAGATAACCTTAAAGAGATAACCTTAAACTAAAAAAAAAAAAAAAAATGCTTTGTAATTTATAGAGGCTTTCCTATGTATTGTGTTTATTCTTCATAGTCTGTGGTGTTGGGTATTTATTATCTCTGTCAGAAAACCTTAAAATTGTTAGTTAACCTCAGTTAATTATCTTAGAAGTACTAACAGGAGCTATAACTCAGAACCCTGAACTTGGTGACTCACATTCATAAAGCTCACAAAATTTAAACGGATACTATGTGTTGCATTTAAAGCCTTCCATAACCTATTTTGAGGCTAAGACATTAACTTTCCTGTGCTTGGTTCAGTGGGCACTGTGACATCTAGTCTGTGCTCAGTATGAGAGTTAGTACGAATCTGATGCCTTTTTATTATTTTAAGATTAACTCTTAGGTAAGGGACTAGAGAAGTAACATGCATGTGCTTTAGGGTGTTTCAACCCCACACATACTTATAGGGTACTTGTTTGCCTGGGTATTGGAGATACAATAGTGAACAAGACAGATTTGCTTTCTGGGTCTGGAGAGATGGCTTAACAGCTAAGAGCACTGGTTGCTCTTGCAGGGGACCTGAGTTTTATTCCCAGAACCCACATGGTAGATAACAGTCATCTGTAACTCCAGTTTGAGAGGATCCAACACTCTCTTCTGGCCTCCATGGGATTTACATGCAAGCAAAACACTCACTTATACACATAAAATACAAATTTTTAAAAAAGGTGGATTTTCTTCCTATGCTGATGACGCATCACATTCAAGGGAAAAATCACACTAGGAGCAGAAACTACAATGATGTAGGTGGTGGTGCTTTCTGTCATCACTTATTTTAAAGAACTGTCACATTCTGCTCTTATTGATAAGGAAACAAGCTGAAAAAAATGAAATAATTTGCTATGTAAGTGATTTAGTTCAGTGTTATGATTTTGCATTTTTAAAGGCAGGGTCTCAGCAGCCCCAACTAGGCTTCTGAGCCATGCTCCCAGCCACCCTCCCAGTCACCCTCCCAGCCACCCTCCCAGTCACCCTCCCAGTCACCCTCCCAGCCACCCTCCCAGCCACACTCC